GAATGTGTAGGGGAGAAGTGTGCTGGAGGCGCAGCTCTGGGTGCCAAAGCAAGCAGGAGTTTCTTGTGCCAGGACAGATGCTTCTTCACCCCCTGGTGCTCGCAGTGCAGATGCTACCCTCGAGCCTGCCTCTTGCCCTATGACAGCCTTCCTGGCAGGGAGAAGGGACATGCTTGGGGGGTGGGGGGAAGTGGCAGAGGCGAGAGTAGAGCATCAGTGCTCCTGGCTCCCAGCTCTGTATTCAGTCCGTTAGGCCATGCAGGCACCTGCTTTGCATTTGAGAGCAGGGCTGGTGCTTTTGGAGGAGGCCAGGGGAGTTAGGAACCCAGAAGCTCGACCCAGGAGCCCTGCCACTGGCCACGGAGCAGCTCCTTTGGGGGAAGCCAAGATCTGCAAGTGTGGGTTTTGGAGTTGCTGTCACAGCTGTGCTCCCTGCTCCAGCATGGAGGCCTCTCACCCTCGCAAAAGCCAGGGTCTGGCCTTGGGGTTGTTGGTGCTGCCGTCCTGTTGATTTGGGAGCTGCTGCGTCCAACAGGCTGCTTCTCTGGGCTGAGGCCGGGCTGTCTCCTGTGCTGTGGTCCCAGAGCAGGAGTTGGGGACATGCGCTGAAGGACCTGCCTTTTGTGGAGATCACAGTAGCCTTCTAGAGCCTGACCCCACTCACCCAGCTCTCCCACACTACAGCTGTTTCAGCACGGGAACAGACTTTCTGCCTGGGTCCCTTGCCCCAGGGCTTGGGGAGCCCACGGATGCAAGCAGATGTGTTGGGCTGCGATGGGGCAAGTGATAGCAGCGTTCCTGAGCTTCACTGGATGAACTCACCCCTGTGGATGCCTCCGTCCGGCCTGTGGCTAGGATGGGACTCCTGGGGGCAGCCAGGCTGTAAGAGCCCTTGGGTGAGGCAGGGCTCCACTGAGCTCCCCAGCCCAGGGCACCCTGCCTCTCTGCCCTGGGCATGGGTTTGCTTGGCTCTTCCACCAGACAGTGGCTCTGGCTCTAGGTCCCGGGTGGCTACGGAGGCCTCCTGATCCCGTCCTTCCTGGAGCCAGCCTGGGGGCATTGCTGGCTCAGTGCTTGTTGCCCAGTGCCGTAGTTCATAGGGAGCGGGGTCTGGAGCCGGCGATGTCGGGGGCTTTCCTGGGTGATGCTGGGAGGACCTGGGCTGTTTGACATGTTGGCCGGGCATGAGGCCGTTGTCAGTTTGGGCTTGTTCGGGCAATTTTGCTGCCTTCCCTGTCCAGGAGTAGCTGGCCCCAGGGTCCTCAGGCTGAGGCCTTGTAGTGTGCTGGCTCTCCAGTGCCACTCATCCCCCGAGGTCTCCAGGGTGGAGGCAGAGACCTGCTGGGACCCGGGCTGTGCTAGGGCTGCTGGATTGGGGCCTGAGCCTTGGGTCCTGGCACTGGGGCGTGCAGATTCAAAGCCTCAGGCCCTGCTGCATATCTTCCATCTCTGCCAGCTGACAGGTAGTACGGGTGCCCTGGCCTGGATTTCCTCATGGCCGGGGCTCCCGTGGAGGGCGGCAGGGAGGTGCCAAGGGGGGCGTCTTTGCAATGAATTCCTTCAGCCTGTCCACGAGGACTCTGCGGCACCTGGTCGCGCTGTCTCTGCCTGCCCAGGGATCGGAGCATGGCAGCAGCAGCAGCGCGTCTCAAGCCACCGAGGCAGGAGCCCAGAGGGCAGAGACCTGCCGGAAGGCCGTTCCCAGGAGATGCCTCCTAGCAGCCGGGTCATTGCTGAGCGAGGCTCCGGCAGGGGCAGGGCTGGGTGAGGGGGGCTTGTGGGTGTGCGCTGGGGGAGCCGTGGGCTGCTGTTCCCTCTCTCCTCCCTTGGGCACTGCAGGACCTCTAGCCTTGGGGTAGGGGTAGGCCGCTGCCCCATTGACCCAGGACACCTGCTCCCCCGGGGCTGGGGGAGAGAGGCTCCTGGAGGTGGCAGGGCTGCTCTGGGTAACAATCCTTCCCCATCTGGGCTGGTGGCTCAAAGCAGCCCTCGCTCCCCAGATGCTCTGCCCTCCCCGTGGGCCAGGTCACCCCTCGGTCACCCCTGGGTGGCCAGGGATTCCTGCATCTCATTGACCTTCGCTCCATCCTGGAGGGCTGGGCCCCTCTGCTTGAGCCACCCCTTTGGAGCAGTAGGGACTGCGTCCTGTGCAGGAGCCCTGGCTGGGGGCAGCGGTGGCCGTTGCTTTCTCCAGCCCTTGAACGCCAAAGGTTGGTGTTTATGGCGGGGACTGATCTGCTGGGGCCTGGCGGGGGCAGCCCCAGAGGTTAAGGTGGCAGCTGCTGCAGGGGGGAGGAGCTGCCCTGAAAACGTGGCCCCACGTTCTCCATGGATCACGTTCTGCAGCCGGCCCTTTGGCGCTGGGGCTGGGACAGCAGAAGGATGGTGGGATCCCTGCCCTAGGACAGCATCTCCTTTGGTCCCAGGTGCCCCTTGAGGATAGGTGCTGTGTCCTGAGGCTTCAGCCGCCTTCTCCTCCTCCTTGAATTGGCCACTGCATCCGCCTGGGCCCTGCCATGGCCAGGAGCTGGGCACTGGAGCGGTTGATGCTGGCTGCCATCACCGGTGGCGTGGAGGAGCCGTGGGGCAGGCAGCTCAGGGCAGTCCAGCCGGGGTTACTCTTCCTTCCACTGCCTCTTTCCATCCCCCCATGAGCAAGGGGGCTGCTGGGAGACTCATCTGTGCCTCCTGGAGCCTCCAGGCGGATCTGAGTGGATGCAGAATGAGCCAGGACATGCCTGCTCCCCACAATGGGTCACCTCCACCCTGCTAGTGGAGGCCCGACAAGGGCCAGGGGCTGGGGTCCATGGGAGCTGCCGGCTTGGGCCGCCCCAGTGATACATCTGAGTCCAGTTTGACCAGGAAAAGGTGTGAGTCGCTGACAGAGGGTGGGGGGTGACCCCAGTGCATCCCTCCAGGCCCAGCCAGACCCGCTGCCTGGCAGATGAAGCTGGGCAGAGGATCCCGGCAGTGAGGGCCTGAGCAGGGCTCCCCAAAGGGGCTCTGGGGCCAAAGGGCAGATGGCTTCATCCCTTGTATGGCCACAGATGCCTGCCTTGATGAGCAGCCGCAGGAGCTGCCCGGGTGCTCTGCCTCCGTGGTCTCGCCCCGCATTTGGGGCCAGCCGGGCCGGGAGCTAGATCCTGCAGTCACCCTGCAGCTACGGGATGCTTTTGCCGGGGAGCAGCATAGTACCGCACCTGGGGCCCGGGCACCTGCGTGCAGGCTGCATCGCCTGGGGCTCGGTGACCCTGTGTGTTGTAGAGGCGCCAATGCCCGGCCAGGCCACGGCTCGGTGCCAAGCGAGACCTCCCAGCACCTGATGTCCCGGAGGAGCGGGCGCCGTCGGGAGGCTCCTGGAGCAGCAGAGCCCAGCACCCCGCGCTGCTCTGCGAGGGAACAAAGCCCCGATTCAGCCTGGCCTGCCCCTCCCCCCGCGCCGGCCGCTCTTGTCTCGCAGCTGCCTGGAGCATTGGGCAGATGTGAGCGGCCACAGCCGAGCATGGGCGGGCGGGGGCCGGAGATGGCCTCATTAGATCTGCGCTCCTGGCGCGGGTCCTTCCCATTTCCAGGCCTGGTCCCGTCCTGATCCCATGTCCTGAGGCTGGGCAGGGGCGGGGTCTGCACTGCCTGTCTGCAGCTGGTGTTGGGAGCCAGGAGACTCGACCAGTGGGGCCCGGGGAGGATCTTCTTCTGGCAACCCTCCGGTAGAGGCTGGGAGCATCCGTTCCCCTTCCTGCCCCGGGGGCCGGCCTGCCTTTGCACAGGGCATGGGGGCCGCATTTCAGGCCAGGCCTGGTCTGTGGGTTGTGGCTGAGGATGTGCAGCTGCGGCCCATGGCAGATGCGGAGCTTCCTTTTGCCCAGTGCCCAGCTGCAGCTTGGGAACTGGAGGGCTGGGCTGGGAAGGAGTGGTCAGGTCTGCCTGGTGGGGTAGGGGGGATTGCTGGGGACAGGGGAAGAGATTAGACTGGACAGACCCGAAGCACCTGGGCATGCTCGCTCTGTGTGTGCGCGCACACAGGGACAGGGTGTGTGTGCATGTGTGGGACTGCAGGATGTGTGCGCAGTGGCGTGTATGCAGGTGTGTGTGTGGTGGCATACATACAGTGTGTGTGCATGTGGGGGAAGTGTGCATGTGCACGGTGTGTGTGGTTGTGCAAAGTGTGTGTGTGTGCACAGCATGTATTGGGGTGACTGGGTGCGGGGCCGTGCCCATGGGCAGGAGTCGTGTCGTTGTCCCTCTGTTCCTGGTTCAGGGATGCTTCCCCCTGCCTCTGCCCAGCTGGGGCAGGGCACTCGCCCCTGAGCGAGGCCTGGAAGCTTTGCTGCGGGCTCCAAGCTCCTGGCTGTGGAGCGCCCGGGGTGGCTGACGTGGGTGGGCAGAGCCTGGCCCAAGGGTCCATAAGGCATTGATGGCAGGGGTTGTAGAGGGTGGGCAGTGGCTATCGGGGGTCCTGCAGAGGGTGTCCACGTCCCTTGCAGGCAGGTGGGCATCACCGCTGCCTGGGGCAGGGAGAAGCCAGGCCAGGGGGCCAGAGCCCCCCTCGGCTGCTGCAGAGATGGAGAGGCCGAGGCGCTGACCTGATGCTCTCTGCTTGGCCTGAGATGCCATCCAGGCTGCCCGCGACCCCCAGCACCTCAGCCAGGGCTCAGGTCCCACCCACTGGGGCAGCTGGGCGTCTTCATGGGGCCATGGCAGCATGGGGCAGGACGCATGTGTGTGTATTGGAGGGGGATGTCGCTATATGATGAGAGTTGGCTGGGATGGGGGAGTGCCAGGGCCTGGGCTGATGCCAGCTCTGGGTTGCAAGGACTGGGATCAGGTCCAGGCCAACGTGCATGCCCACTTTGGCGCCTCAGGCCTGTATCTGGGCCCACCCCAGGGTCCCTGCTCGGGTCTGGTCCCGCAGCCCAGGGCTGGGCTGGCCCTGCGGGGCGTGAGCATGGGTGCTGGCTGTGGGGGAGCCACCTGGTGACGGAGCCTCTGCTGTCCCCTAGGCCTGGTCTCCCAGTCGTCCCCCAAGAAGCCTCGTGGCCGGAGCATCTTCAAGGCGCTTTTCTGTTGCCTCCGCGCGCAGAATGTGGGGCAGCCGGGCTGCGGGGGCGAGCACGGGCCGCGCACGGAGCAGGCCAGCACCATCGCCAAGGTACGGGGACTGGGGCCGGGGCACGGGGGCAGCAGGAGCTCCCAGGGTTGGACCTCTGCTCCAGCCCTCCTGTGGCTGCTGCATCTGGTGGGAGCAGGGATCCCTCAGCCCTGGGCTCCCTCTTTGCAACCTCTCCATCACGCCAGCGCTCGGTGCATGTGTGCGCGATTGCCTGCCTGCAGCCTCCCTCTCAGAGCTCCCTCCGTCTGTCTGTCTGCATGTCTGTCTGCCTGTCTGTCCGGCACCGCGAACTGCCCCTGCATCCCGCGGCTCCCCTCAGCTGTGGGTTGGTCCCAGAGAGAAGGGCTTATGCCCGGGCAGCAAGTGGAGTGGGTGCCTGCCTGTGCCAGGGGCAGGCCGGGCTGTCACAGCCTGTGGGGTGTGGATCCTCACCCCCCTCATAACACCTCTGTTTCTCCTCCTTCCCCCCTGCTCTCCCCCAGTCTGATCTGTTGCCGTGTCTTCAGTACCAGTTCTACCAGGTATGTGTGTGTCTCCCTGCTGTGTGCATGTGTCTGTGTCCATGTGTGTGTCTGTGGTTGTCCTTCCCCCCTGCAAAGACCCCTTTACCCTTCCGCCCATGCCTGGAGCCGAAACCCACCTGGGCCTGGGGGAGGCCCATGACTTTGGGTGCAGGGCTTCACCCCAGAGCCAGCTGCATTCCTGGACAAGGCAGAACACGCCCCCAGCTCCCAGCCTCACCTTTAAAGCCAGGCCTGTCCATCTCCTGGGAGTGTAGTGGCAGCCTCAGTGCTGTAGCCCATGCAGCTGACTCCAGCCTTCCCTGTGCCAGGGCTGTGCCTGGGGCACATGCCTGGCTCTGCCTTGCAGGCCCTCGGACTGCAGCATCAGGGCGCTCTGACTCAGTCATGCCGTGCAGCAGGTGATGCTGCACCAGCCAGGGCTCCCTTGCTCCAGGCCCCAGGGAGTTGCATCCCTGCAGTATCTGGTCAAGAGTACCTGCCGGGGGTGGGGAGAATTGCCCTGGGCCATCTGCAAGTTGTGGGGATGGGACTCTGCAGGTGCCTGCAGTGGGGGCTGGCTGTGGCCAGGCCTGATGGCTCCTCTTATGTGTGCTTGTAGATCCCCAGTGCATGCCTGCTCCCCGAGGCGGCTCAGCAGGACCAGGGCCGCATCTGCGTCGTCATCGACCTGGACGAGACGCTGGTGCATAGCTCCTTCAAGGTGATTCCAGGGGGCAGGAATGGGGAGCTGTGTTGGGGGGGTGGGTGCCGTGATGGGCTTGGGTCTGGGGTGAAGCCCCTGAGCCCCTCTAGCTGCAGCAGGCAGTGGCAGGAGTCAGAGCAGAGGGGCTTAGATTGGCTGTTGGACCCCTGCTCCCTCCCCTCTCCATTCAAAATCTCCTCTGAGCGCTAGTGGGGCCAGACAGAGCCAGGTGCCAGTGGAGATGTGTCTCTTGGCTGCTGGCATGTGGGGGTGACACGCCTGCACACACGTGTCTGTGTTTGCCATGCTGCCAGTCTGCTTGCACTAGTGCCTAGGCTCAACCTGTTGCCAACAAGCTCTGACAGTCAGGGTCTTCTCATCTCAGAGGGTCTTTGCCCCCTGCTCTTCCCTGGGCCTGCACAGCTGCCCTGGGGTCGTGGCATTGTTTTGCTCGAGTCCCCCATCCTGTTGGCTGGGGCCAGGGTCCCCAGCTCCTGTGCTAACCCCCCTTGCTCTCTTCTTACACCCCCAGCCGATCAGTAATGCTGACTTCATTGTGCCTGTCGAGATAGAAGGGACCACACACCAGGTGAGCGAGACCGGGGCAGGGGCGGGGCTGGGGGAGTCTCAGCATCGGCTCAGCCTCAGGCCCCAGAGCGGAGCAGGACCCATGGGGTCACGGCCCGGTTCAAGTAATCCAGGATAGGCTGGTGCCAGGCCCGTGGCCTATTCTCGATTACTTGTCTCGGGACGTGGCTGCTGGCACGGCGACGCTTGGGTGGGCTGGGGGGTGGCAGGCATTTGGTACCGGGTCCTGGAGACCAAACTCTGCAGGTGCCCTGGGGGAGGAGGGACCCCCTACATTTGTGCACCCCCCTGCCCCTGCTCACAGCCCCCCATCCACCCCCAGGTCTATGTGCTAAAGCGGCCGTTTGTGGATGAGTTCCTGCGGCGCATGGGGGAGCTCTTCGAGTGTGTCCTCTTCACTGCCAGCCTGGCCAAGGTGAGAGCCGGGGTGCGGGGTGGGACCTCCCCGCACTGCCCGCATAGCCATGGCACGTCCGGGGCCCAGCTTGTGTGGCTAGGGGAAGGGTCATGGCCCCTGCTCCCACCTGCCCCCGCAGGCTGAGCCATGACCCTGGCTCTCTCCCGCTGTCAGTACGCCGACCCTGTGACGGACCTCCTGGACCAGCGCAGGGTCTTCCGGGCCCGGCTCTTCCGGGAGTCGTGCGTCTTCCACCAGGGCTGCTACGTCAAGGACCTGAGCCGTCTGGGCCGGGACCTGCGCAAGACCCTCATCCTGGATAACTCGCCAGCCTCCTACATCTTCCACCCCGAGAATGCGGTGAGCACCCGGGCACCCCTGCGCCCGTCGGGAGAAGCCCAAAGGGCCCTCTTCTCCCCCTACCCCCCAATCTCCCTGGGAAGTCATCTTTGTCACTCGAGCACTCCCTCTGTAGCCAAATTTTAGACAGATTTGTGGACGACACTGATTTGTTCCAAGTTGTAAAGATTACAGCAGACTGTGAGGAGCTACACAAGGATCTGGCATGACTTGAGCCAACGGGTAACTAAATGGCAGGTGCAAGTCAGTGGAGATAAGTGTAAAGTGATGCACCTGGGCAAAGATAACCCCACATTTTACCTATGCTTTGATGGGTGTTGGTGTGGACAGTTCACTGAAAACGTCAGCTCATAGCTCAGCAGCCATCAAAAAGGCCAACAAGTTAGGGTTTAAGAAGGGAATTGTGAACACAACAGAAAGCATCGCAACACTCCTCTATAAATCCGTAGTGCGTCCATCTTGGATATGGTGCCCAGTTCTGGTCCCCCACCTCCAAAAGGATATAGGAGTAGGGGAGGTCCAGAGAAGGGCAACGAGGATGATGAGTGGTATGGAGGGGACATAAGGGTTAAAAAATACTAAATGGAGAAGAGAAAGTCGCTAGGGATTTATTATCAACTCTCACCAGACAAGAACCAGGGGGCACAATGAAACTAGCAGGCAGTGAGCTCAAAACTAATGCAAGGAAGTTCTTTCCCACCCAGCATGTCATTAAAGCACAGGGCTCGTGGCCACCAGATCTGGTGGAAGCTGAGAGTTTAGTCAGATTCACAAAGGGATCAGACACATCCTTGGAGCAAAGGGGGAGCGGCAGCTATTGAGCAGGGGAGTGAGGGGGACAGCCCCTGAATTGAAACTTCCTAGACCTTCAATGCTGGAGGCTGCAAGTGAGAGAGGAACGGGGGGTGGGGGAAACCCCTTCTAGGGGGCACGAGGAGCCGGGGCCCCCTCCCCTCCCTACTAAATTCTTCCTTGCCCCATAGGTGCCAGTGCAGTCCTGGTTCGACGACATGGGGGACACAGAGCTGCTCAACCTCCTCCCCGTCTTCGAGGAGCTGAGCGCGGCCGAGGACGTTTATACCAGCCTAGGCCAGCTGAGGGCGCCCTAGCACCTGGGGCGCCCCCTTGTGGCCCCCGTTCTTCGGCAGGGGACATTCACGTAGTGCCTTGAAGACCAGCGGGACGCGGCAGGCGAAGGAGGCAGCGCCGCAGACCAAAATGCCGGGAGGGGCATCCCAGCCCCCCCGCCCCTCTGGGACCAGGCCGCACTCTCCAGTGCGGGGCAGGCTGGGGGTCCCCAACGCCTTGGCCCAAGGGCTGAGCCCCTGGCCCTCCCCTGCACATGCTTGTATCTATGCATGGCGGGGTCTCTCTGTGCCAGGCTTGTATCCAGGCCGTGCTTCCGACATGGATGCCCCCGGCTATGGCAGGCTGCTCCCTGGCTGGGGGCAGCCCCTTGGGGCCCAAGCTGCCCTGACCCTTGCAGGACAGAGCTACCCCCAGACTCCCAGGCCCCACCTGCCAGGCTTGTCTGCAGCTGCCAGGGTCAGTACCTCTCCTGGGGTTGTCTGGGACCTGCTCCCAGCCCCTGGTGGGGGCTGAGCCCCACTTGGGCAGCAGAGAGATGCAGCCTGTGATTCAAGGAGCTTCCTGCTGCTCCTGCCCAGGACCTGGGCCAGCCTCTTAGCTCCTGCCTGCCTTGCACGTGGGGCAGCAGGGCATCTCCAGCCTAGCCAGGTGGGGGTCTAGCTCTGTCCCAGCCTCCTCTCTGGCTGTTTGCCCCCTTGGGGTCTGGGCTAGGACAGGTGGTGGTGCTGCAGCAGCCCTAGCTTGTGCTCTGGGGCTGCGTCTCAGGGCCCAGGCTGCAGCCCCGGGTGCTAGGAGCAGGCGCCTATGCTGAAGCCATGGTCCTGTGCCTTGTGTGGGTCTGGGGGAGCATGAGGACTGAGCTTGCTGGTGCTTGGCCTCTAGGGGCACCACGGACCTCATGGGACTGCCCCGCACATCCTTGAGACATGCATCAAGCTCAGGCCTTTGCCTGTGTGATGGGGTTGAGGCCCACGCCATGCGCTGGCCGCCCGGTAGCACGTACAGGGCTGTACGCTGCAGCAGCAGAGTGCTCCCCATGGACTGAGGCCACCAGTGCCAGCAAGACGGTCACTCCGGGGCCTTCCTGCCCCCCTGTCCGCCCATGCCTGGGCCTGTATCTTGGGTGGGACTCCCACCCTCCTCTAGGGGGTCTGTGGGCAGACCCCAGTCAAGGCTGGGCCCCTGCCTGCCCCCCATACTCCTGGTGGGCAGCCGGGTCTTTCCAAGTGCCATTAGCGCCATGCACGGGCGCCTCCTCCCACTGGGACCTGGGCTCTCAATAGGGGATGAATCCAGCCTGGCTCTGCCCTGAAGCCCCCCAAAACCCTGGGACCTCCCCCATGCGAGGGCTGTGCGCGCTGGGGGGAACGACCAAAGCCCCACGTCAGGTGATTCCACACCAGCAATTCCTGCACTGCCCTGCTCCCCACCCCTGGGCCAACCCCTTCCACCCAGCCATGGTGGGACCCCTTGGTGCCAGGGATCAGGGCAGGGTTCTCCCTGCAGAGGGGTAAACCTTCAATGCCTCTGGGTCCCCCACACTCCTCCTTGGCGCCCCTGTTGCCACCGCCCCCCCCCCTCAGCCGGGTCCTTCGGGTGCAGCAGGGAGACCCCTTCCCAGTGGTTTGGAGACCTCGATATTGCCTTGGTTCCACGTTCGCGTTTTCTTGGTCATTCTGTTTTTTTTTTTTTTCTGTTGAGCTCGGAGACACTTGAACCCGGGGCTGCCCGGGCGGAGCCTTTGTATTAACTGCCATTAAAAAAATGAACCAGAGCTGGCCACCTCCTTCCTGCAGTCCCCACCCTGCCCCTGGCCAGGGGACCCCAGCAACGCTCAGACCTGATCCAGGGGCTGCCCAGCAGGCCTTGTGGGTGCTCCCTTGGCCCCATGTCGGGACTGGTGGTGTCTGGAGAGCGGTGGGAGCAGGAGGCCTAGCGGTTGGTGTGCAGGGTGGTGGGTGGCTTCTGGATGCCAGGGCCTCGCCTGCATGGCTGGGTCACCATGTCCCACTGCACTGGGAGGCCGGGGGAAGCGGGGCTTATAAGACCCCCCAGGCCATTGGATCCTGACCCCTGCCCATTTCTGTGCTGCATGTCCTCACTAGCCCCAGCTTGGCCTGGCAGGTGAGCACCAGCAGTCAGAGGTGCAGCTATGGTGCTAATGCAGGCAAACATCATGCCAAGGCATGGGCGGATGGGCATAGGGCTGGTTCTGCCCTGGCCATGCCAGCTGTTGTCACCCGCATTGCCCAGGCAGCAAGTCCATGTGGGTGTGGGGGGAGCTGCTGTGCAGCCCCAAGGTGCGGAGGGCCCTGGCCTAGCGGGGTGGGAGCAGCTGGCATCAGTAAGCAGGGTGCAGCCCCCCTGGGCATTGGGGAAGTAGATCAACCAGCCCTGCAGCCACTGCAACCCCAGAGTCACTGCCACTTCCAGCTCTTCCTCTGCTTCCACCTGTGAGGTGTCCGGCCAGGCAGGACTGCCCACCGTGGAGGCTTCCACCCTGATCCAGGTTTGGTGCTGTGCAGACTGCGGCTTGCAGGTCCTTTCCAGCGTCAGCGAGGTGGGCGAGCGCCTGTGATGTGAGCGGTGACTTGTGGTGGTGGTGCTCGAGGAGAAGGCAAGAGAGCTACAGGAGGAGGTGAAGCATCCTGCACGGTGAGGACTGCATTGGAGGAAACCTAGGACGGTGGAGGAAGGACTCCCAGACATGGTGCTAGAATAGGAAGAAGGCCTGGACTCCCAGGAAGCTTGTGTCGTCTGGCGGCAAGCAGAAGTCTTCGTCCCCACCTGCAGTGGTTTGCCTGGAGAACACATCTGGAGCGCTTGCAACAGAGGAGGAGGAGCATGTTCCACTAGTGGAAGAGGCCAGGCCAGAAATCCCCACGGTGGAGGGGGTCTAGATGACTGCCACAAAGGGGAAGCGGGTGGTTGGAGACTCCCTTCTGCAGGGGATGGAGGCATCCATCTCCCTGTTGTCTCGGCAGGTCTGCTGCTTGCCTACAGCCCAGATCTGAGATGTCACGGAAGGATTACTGAGACTCGTCTGACCCCTGACTATTACTCCATAGTGCTCATCCACATGGGCACCAATGATACTGCCAGGGGTGATGCTGAGCAGATCAAGAGTGACTACAGGGCTCTGGGTGCAAGGGGATGGGCTCGGGTGGTCTCTTCAATCCTTCCGGTCAAGAGGAAGGGCCCGGGCAGGAGCGCACACATCCTGCAGATCAATGCACGGCTGCCCAGGTGGTGTCGGCAGCAGGGATTC